CTCTCCCAAGACCTGGGAAAGAATGGGATTAGAGTAGATGGATCCTTAATGACAGGCACAGACATGATGGGCCAAACAGCCTCTTTCTGTGCTGTAAAAACTCTATGACCTCTCTATCACTTTCTCCCAAAACCTACCTATTTGACCAATCATCTGCCTTCCCTGACACCTTGTTCCTGTGGCTTGGTGCCAGGGTACTTTTATTGACAGCACTAAATGGCTTTGGATGTTTTACCACATTAAAGTCACTATAAAAATGCAAGTTGTTGTTATAAGCCATCATAATTTCTAGCCTCGTTAGTTTTATAATGCTTCACAACAAGAAGCTGTTTCAAGTGTGCTGCAGATAGAGCAGCCTTTTCAGAACAAAATGTTAGATTAGTCACTCATTTTATGGCTCTTCCTTGGATATTAATACAAATGAAAATGGGGAGAATTTATAAAAGAGCTTGCTATTGCTTTTGGAATTTACTCTAAAGGTCAAAGTTCACCTGTGTGTTTCATGATTGGCATAGATAAAGCCATTTTATTTGAAACTGCACGTAGGAACATGTTGTCGGGAATCATGCAGTTTCACATGATAGATACCCATGCATGTTCACAGAATCCCTACAGTGTGAAAGCAGCCCATTCGGCCCATTGACTCCGCACTGACCCTCCCACACAAACCCAGCCCTATCTCTGTAACCCCACATTTCCCATAGCTAACCCACATTTTTTAAAAATTTTAATCAAACTATTACAATTGATGTTGGAAAAGGTCTTTGAAATTGTTGGACCTAGAATCACAATTTTTGACGTAACCACATTGGTGTTTACACAGAACACAGTGATTGCACAAAGTGCAGAAACAACCCAGTTGACTTGACTTTATGCTTAAGAAAATAAAGGAACCACACCTTTCTAAGTAGACTTTGAACCCCGGGATAATGTTCCAAGGAGATAGGTTTCATTCCCACCATGATAAATGGTGAAATTTGAATGAAATTTCAATTCAAAAATCTGGAATGAACAAGTAGTTTACTGGAGGCCATGTAACCACTGTCAATAGTTATAAAAACCCGTCTGGTTCACAAATGTCTGTGAAGGAAGGAAATCTGCCTTCTCCATGCACCTTGAGAACATAGTTGACTGTTTAATGCATGATTTGGATGGGAAACAGCAATGTCCACATCCCAAGAACATTTTTTTTAAAAAAGCTGTGACTCTGATTATATTTGAAGGTGAATTCAATCCTATACTGAAGGAACAGCCCTCAGAATTTAAAATGATTTAGGATGTCTTAACATAATCTAAAATATAGCAACAGAGATAGTTGTGTATATGGCTTGTCATAGAGTCATACAGCACGGAAACAGACCCTTCAGTCCAACCAGTCCATACCGATCATAATCTCAAACTAAACTAGTCCCACCTGCCTGTGCTCGGCCCATATCCCTCCAAAACCTCTCTTATCCATATGTCTTTTAAATGTTACATCTATACTTGCATCCACCACTTCCTCTGGAAGTTCATTCCACTCACAAGCCACTCTGTGTGTAAAAGGATTGCCCCTCATGTCTTTTTTAAATCTTTCTCCTCTCACCTTCAAAATATGTCCCCTAGCCTTGAAATTCCCTGACGCTACGGAAACAACACCTGCCATTCACCTCATCTATACCTCTCATGATTTTATAAGCTTTTATAGGGTCACCCCTCAACCTCCTACTCTCCAGTGAAAAATGTCCTGGCCTATCAAACCTGTCCTTAGAACTCAAACCTTCCATTCCTGGTAACATCCTGATAAATATTTTTTGAACCCTCTCCAGTTTATGCTTATGCTTATGCTTATGAAAGGCTACTTGGTGGACAATGTGGGCACTGATATTTGATAGTTAAATTCTCATAGTTATAGTCACACCCACCCAAATTGGAAAGACTGTTAGAACATAGAATATAGAACATTGAACATTACAGCGCAGTACGGGCCCTTCGGCCCTCGATGTTGCACTGACCTGTGAAACCAATCTGAAGCCCATCTAACCTAAACTATTCCATTATCATCCATATGTTTATCCAATGACCATTTAAATGCCCTTAAAGTTGGCGAGTCTACTACTTTTGCAGGCAGGGCATTCCACGCCCTTACTACTCTCTGAGTAAAGATTTCTCACATTAAAGTGTAGAATACAAATGACAACTGAAGCAATCATGGAGAAAATAAGCCAATGTGACTGATAAGTCATGTATTATGACAAATAAGGATAAAAAAGAAAATGTTTCCTTGGAATGAAAGCAAATGACAGCCAGGGGAATAAAAATCCAAAACCATGAACAGTCAAAGAAAACCAAGACTGCTATTAAATCAACTGAAAGGTTAATGGAAAAGAGGATAGTAACGTCAGAAGCTTTTATCTGCTATATTCAGTGACAGGACTATCAAAGACCAGATTGAATCTTTGTAAAGTGTTTGAGGACAATTGAAATAAATACGAAGTCTGAGATATTAAACAAAGACATTGCATCCATCTTGAAACTCTTGAAACTGATGGTCAGTGACAGCACTAAAAGATGAAGTTGCCATTAAAATTGTTATTATGAAAGCAGATTTTGATAGCTTCTTTGGGCCTACTCCACCATTCTTCAAGGTCGTGGCTGATCGTCCAACTCAATAGCCTAATCCTGCTTTCTCCCCATGAACCCATTCGCCCCCAAGTTCTATATCTAATCCCCTCTTGAATACATCAATGTTTTGGCATCAACTCCTTCCTGTGGTAATGAATTCCACAGGCTCACCACTCTTTGGGTGAAAAAATGTTTCCTCATCTCCATCCTAAATGGTCTACCCCGAATCCGCATACTGTGACCCCTGGTTCTGGACAGACCCACCATCAGGAACATCCTCCCTGCATCTACCCTGTCCAGTCCTGTTAGAATTTTATATGTCTCTATGAGGTCTCATTTATCCGAACTCCAGCAAAAACAATCCCAACCGAGTCAATCTCTCTACATATGTCAGTCGCTCTATCCCTGGAATCAGCCTGGTAAACCTTTGCTGCACACCCATGAGAGGAAGAGCACCCTTCCTCAGAAAAGAAGACCAAAACTGCATGCAGTATTCTAGGTGGTCTCACCAAGGCCCTGTATAACTGCAACAACACATCCCTGATCCTACACATGAAACCACTCGCAATGAAGACCAATATACATTTGTCTTCTTTACCGCCTGCTCCACCTGCATACTTACCTTCAGTGACTGGTGCACAAGGACACCCAGAACCTGCTGGACACTCCCCTCTCCCAGTTTACAGTTCGGTAAGATCCTGGGGAGTGTTGCTGAACAAAGAGACCTTGAAGTGCAGGTTCATAGTTCCTTGAAAGTGGAGTCACAGGTAGACAGGATAGTGAAGAAGGTGTTTGGTATGTTTGCTTTTATTGGTCAGTGTACTGAGTATAGGAGTTGGGAGGTCATGTTGTAACTGTACAGGGCATTAGTTAGGTCACTTTTGGAATACTGCGTTCAGTTCTGGTCTCCCTGTTATAGGAAGGATGTTGTGAAACTTGAAAACATTCAGAAAAGATTTACAAGGATTTGGCTGGGTTTGAAGGGTTTGAGCTATAGGGAGAGGCTGAATAGGCAGAGCTATTTTCCATGGAGCGTCAGAGGCTGAGGGCTGACCTTATTGAGGTTTATAAAATCATGAGGTGCATGGATAGGGTAAATAGACAAGCTCTTTTTCCTGGGGTGAGGGAGTCTAGAACTAGAGGGAATAGGTTTAAGGTGAGAGGGAAGTAGATTTAAAATGGACCTAAGGAACCAATATTTTCACACAGAGGATAGTGTGTATGGAATGAGCTGCCAGAGGAAATGGTAGAGGCTGGTACAATTACAATATTTAAAGCCATCTAAACGGGTATATGAATAGGAAGGGTTTAGAGGGATATGTGTCAAATGCTAGCAAATAAGACTAAATTAATTTTGGATGTCTGGTCAGCATGGACAAGTTGGACCGAAGGGTCTGTTTCCATGCTGTACAGCTCTATGACTCTATGACTGTATGTGGTCTCACCAGCGTAATGTATAATTGAATCAGAGCATCTTATTTTTATGTTCGATTCTTGTAATAAATGATAGCATCCCATCAGCCTCTTAATTATGCACTGCACGTACTAACTTCTTGTGACTCATGCATCAGAACACCTAAGGCCCTGTGCATATCTGCATTCTGCGACCATTCTTCATTTCAGTAACACTCTGCTCGTCCATTCTTCTGGCTAATGTAAAAGCAAAACTCACATTTACCCACATGATACTCAATCTGCTAGATTTTAACCCACTCACTCAACCTATATATGTGTGTGCAGCCTCCTTGTGCCTTTTTGTATATGTTTTCCTATCATTCTTGGTGACTGCAATGAATTTAGCTGCCATTCCTTTGATCCACTTATTTAAGTCACTGATGCAAATTGTAAAACATTCAGGGAACAGCATAGACTCTTGTAGGACTACACTTTCCACAATCTGCCAATCAATGCCTTTTCCAACTCAACAAAGTAGATAACAGCCATTTGCAGTTTCATTTCTCTGTCCAATCAGGTTTAAAATTTAACAAAGGCTTTCTATTAGCTATGAATCACCATTTTTGGGTGCATGCTCCATAGCAAAGTCTCTACCAATCAGTGCCCACTTGCCAACCAGTCAGCACTCTACTCTGTTCGAATGATGATTTTTCTCCTTGAATTTGCATTCTTGGGAGAAGTCCTGATGAGTGCAAGGTGAAAAGCGATAATCCAGTTTGGAGGCAAACAGTTCAATGAACTTTGTGGCTGAGTGCCTGTTGTATTAATCAAACTCTATTGTTTAATGACATCACGCGTCAAAGAATGGTATCAATACAAAAGTGATGAGTACATGACTTAACGAGTGAGAGTGAGAAATGTGCACCAGCTTCTGTTTTACATTACCGTGTATAAAGAGCAGTTAGAATAGCTGAATACATTTCTCTGATTGTGTGTTTCAGGTACTTGGGAATAACACGCCCTTTGACATACCCGGTGAGACAGAACGGGAGATCAATGGCCAAGATGGTGATCACAGTTTGGCTCCTTTCAGCATCCATAACACTACCGCCATTGTTTGGTTGGGCCAAAAATGTCACGGTGGACCGGATGTGTCTCATCAGCCAGGACTTTGGCTACACTGTCTATTCCACGGGAGTGGCTTTTTATATTCCCATGACCGTCATGCTAATTATGTATTACCGGATATACAAAGCTGCTAAAGTAAGTGCAGAAAAGCACAAATTCATGAACATCCCTCATCAATTTGAGCAGGATGGAGTCTACAACATGGAGGAGGATATTCGAGCCCACCATGCCACCAAGAGGTTCAAGGCTGCAGAGGAGTGTGCCACCTTATCTAAGCTCCTCAGGCACGACCGCAAGAACATTTCTATCTTCAAGAGGGAGCAAAAGGCTGCCCGGACCCTGGGAATCATAGTCGGAGCTTTCACGTTCTGCTGGCTGCCTTTCTTCCTGCTCTCTGCCGCTCGGCCCTTCATTTGTGGGATCGAATGCAGTTGCATGCCCCTGAGGTTGGAGAGAACGTTGCTGTGGTTGGGATACACCAACTCCCTCATCAACCCACTCATCTACGCCTTTTTCAACCGAGACCTGAGGACTACTTTCTGGAGTCTGTTGCGTTGCAAGTACAGAAACATCAACAGGAGGCTTTCAGCGGCCAGCATGCACGAGGCTCTCAAGGCCACTGAGAGACACGATTGCATATTGTAATTTCAACCCCAATCTTTGCACCGTAGGGATTTAGTAGCCAGCCCAAGAAGGAGCATACTTGGAAACAAAGTCAGGATGAGATGTGTCTCCGGGAGACATTATGAAATATTTGATCCCCTATTGAGGCAGACCTGTACAGAATGAAACAGCTGTTAATCCCATTAGTCATCCAAGCAATGTCAGGCATCGAGAAAGCCGAGGCAATGTTTATACATCAAAAATAGGCCAAGTGAATTGAACTGGGTGACAGTCAAGAAAGTGTAATTGCACCAAAAAGGCATCTAAGGATTGAGGAGAAGTGCAATCAGGACTCTAAGGAGAAGGACTGATCACAAGGCGGAAGGAAAATGTGGAGCTCAAAATCAGCGACCGAGTGAATCAGCCAATTGCTTAGAACACAGTGCAAAAAAACAAAATTGTTCTGAACTGCCAACAAATTATCAAGGATGTTGACTTTTAAAGAATGTGAGACTGAATGATAAAGAAAAATGGCTTAGAAAGCAACTGAAATCAGGAGAGCAATGTGAAAATCTAACTGTTGAACTAAGCTGATAGTTTTCTTTTTGGACTTTGTAATGTCCTAAAATACAAAACCAGGATGCCTTGTATTAAACAAATGTAGATTTATTTATGAAAAGTGATCAAAACCATAGAAGTTAGAACATAGCCTTATGGACAAATTCATTGCATTCAAAGATGTTAGGGTCTTGGACTCAGATGCCATTGAATATTTACTATTGAAAAAAATTGATGTTAGTATCTACTTTTGTTTTGCTATTCACAGTCACAAAAATGATGACCAGTATGTCAAGACAATGTATATTTTGCTGTGCTTTTTTAATGTTTGCACACAGAAGCGTTGGATACCATAGGAGCATACCCTGTGCTATCAGATCCTCGCTGAAGCTTTGGCCACTGTTAATACATTACGAGGCTTTAGGGGACATTGCATCTGCATGAGCATAGGTTTAGAAACTAACTGATACTGTCCATTGGACAGGAAAGACAACATTCACATTGTACCTTTCATACCCTCAGGAAATCTCAACACGCTTTACTGCCGGTCAAGTACTTTTTATTTTGAAGTGTAGTGAGTGTTGTAACGCAGAAGTGTAGCAGCCAAATTGCTGTGTAAACATGATAAAGGCCACATTGTTTTATTCTAGTAAGGCTGGTTGAGGGAGCAATATTGGACAGGACTTGGGATAATTCCTCTGCCTTTCATGTCCACCTGAGAAGCCAGCCGGACTCTCAGTTTATTGGCTCCTGAAAGATGGAATCTCTGATAGTGCGGCACTCCCTCAGTAATGCACAGTCCTGCTCCAGCCATTGAGTTAAGGCTTTAAGCAAGCAACCTTCTGAATTGGAGGCAGCAACTGTTCTGCCTGCTAGCTGCATCTAACAAATCAGCAAAGCTGAAGGACAGTAAAACATGCATTGAACAGCTAACCTTGGTTCCAGAATCCCTGTAAGACAGATCAATGTTGTGTTCCACTGTTATAAAGACTTGTACAGTTCATTTCTCAATAAAACCACTGAACAATACACCTTGCTGTTCAGTGCTTCAGCTTAAGCTTTTGTCTCCCTAAGACTGTTTCTCTTTCATCATAGTGAGAGGAAATATTTGTGCTGGGTGACGAATAGATGCAACACCAAGTATATCTGTAATGCCCAGCTAGAGATTTACCAGGATATTGCCGGGTATGGAGGGTTTGATTAGAAAGAAAATCTGGATAAGGCTGGGACTTTTGTCGCTGTAGCATAGGAGGTTAAAGGTGACCTTGTAGAAGTTTATAAAATAATGAGAAGTATAGATAGGGTTAATGGTAGTTGCCTTTTCCCTAGGATGGAGGATTTCAAGACAAGAGCGGACACTTTGAAGGTGAAAGGAAAGACATTTGAAAAAGACATGAGAGGCACTTTTTTTACACAGGGAGTGGTTCGCATGTGGAATGCACTGCCAGAGGAAGTGGTGGATTTGGGTACAGTTACAAAGTTTAAAAGACATGTGGATAAGTACATGAATAGGAAAGGTTTGGAGGGATATGGGCCAGGAGCAGGCAAGTGGGACTAGTTCAGTTTTGAATTATGTTCGGCATGGACTGGTCGGACAGAAGGGTCTGTTTCTGTGATGTATAAATCTATGACTCTATTGTGCCCTTTCGCGCTTAGGCCTCAGGTAACATCAAATGTGGCCATTGGATTATTTGTAACAATAATTGGCCAACAATCACATACAGACGCTGCAGATAAGGTCTGTTGGAATGAGAGGAGAGACCTAAATGATTAATTTCCTAAGTTAGGCTCCAGTGCTCCCAGTGAAACTGCTATCTAAGCCTCTCAATACTGTGTGTGGGAGCCCTGCTTTTTGTATGGAAACAATCTGCTGCTTGTTTGGAATATCATATTAAAGGCGTTACCTGATAGTTGCTGAAGCTGGAGAGGTGAATGCATCAGGGAACCCAACGACTTTCATTTGTGGACAGGTAAAGATTGAGTGTCCGCCTCATGTGACTCTAATCTGACTGAAGTCAAACAAAGCAAAGCTGAATTCCATTTTTGAAAAGAAAACCCTGTAATGTTTTAACAAGTTAAAAAAAAAACTTGCCCAAGGATTTTCTTTCAAGCTGTTTGTTGCTTTCTCCAATTCCACTTCAGTGGACTTAATAATCCAGGGGTCAAACCCATCTGTGAGTGTTCTGAAGTATCTGGTAACGCTGTTGCAGTCATAGGCCTTGAGAGTTGATTTTTAAAGCTCATTCCGAGGATGTAGAACATGATATGGAGTTTGTAGTGATTCAGAGAGATCATTCACTCTGCTGCAGGTGCAACAGACTCAGTTTCTGAAGAGCAAGCTGTATCATTTAGCATGGGGACATAACCAGACAACCTGTATAAATATTGAGGCGTTTGCTCTTTCGATACATAGTGTTGTGTTGCAACATTGTGGAACTTTGATCACTCTGTGGGGTGAGTGGGTTGGTCACCTAGAAAGCCTATCTTTGTTAGGAGCTGTCAATAAGACACTCAGAAATTCAATGTTTTGTAGTGGCTTTGCAGCCTCCAATGACTTAGAATTCCTACAGTGTGGAAACAGGCCCTTCGGCCCAACAAGTCCACACCAACTCTCACAGCATCCCACCCAGACCCATCCCCCTATAACATACCTAATCTACACATCCCTGAACACTATAGGCAATTTAGCATGCACATCTTTGGACAGTGGGAGGAAACCAGAGCACCTGGAGGAAACCCACGCAGACACAGGGAGAACATGCAAACTCCACACAGACTGTCGTCTGAGGGTGGAATTGAACCCAGGCCCCTGGTGCTGTGAGGCAGCAGTGCTAACCACTGAGCCACCGTGCCACCCAGAATTTTGACACCAGCGTCATTTCCAGTTGATGGAAGGCTGTAGATACTTGAGATTAGACTCATAGAACATAAAAAACACAAGATTTAAATTTGGAGAGAGCACAAGTTCGAACTCCATTTAGTGCATTGGGAAACATAGAGAACAGAAGTGGCCATTTTTCTTCAGTTCACAGTACATTTGTGACTGAATTCCTTACACCAGCCTTTACCACATATCTCTTATTACCTTTGTTTGACTGAGTTTGAAAATTTATTGACCTGTCGTCAATTTCCATTTGTGGAAGAGAATTGCAGGCTTACACCACCCTCTGCATCTGGAGTTCTTTCTGAACATGACTCCTGCACAGTTTATTGTTTCTTTCTATCCTTTCACAGGACATTGGTGCCGCTGGCAAGGTCACCATTTATTGCCCATCCCTAATTGCCCTTGAACTGAGTGGCTTGCTACGCCATTTCAGAGGGCAGTGAAGAGTCAACCACATTGTTGTGGGTCTGGAGTCACATGTAGGCCAGAACAGGTAAGGATGGCAGATTTTTGTTCCTAAAGGCCATTAGTGAGCTAGATGTGTTTGTCTGACAATTGACAATGGATCCATGGTCATCGTTAGCTTTTAATTCTCGATGTTATTGAATTCAAATGTCCCCACCTGTCATGCAGAGATTTGATGTAGTCCCTAGAACATTAGTTTTGGTCTCTTGTATTAATAGTTCAGTGACAGTATCATTATAGTTTTTCACCCCTTAGCGTTAGACTCCCAAACGAGCAGAAATAGATTCTGTTTATCAGTTTCCCTTAATCCAAGAACAAAGAACAGCACAGCACAGGAACAGCTTATTCGACCACCAAGATTGTGCTGACACATGATGCCTTTCTAACCAAAAAACCTTTTGCTTTTAACCTGTCTGTATCCCTCTATTCCCTGCCTATTCATGTATCTGTCAAGGTGACTCTTAAACATTGTTATTATATCTGCCTCCTCCTCTGGCAATGCATTCCAGGCAGTTACCACCCTCCTTTAAACTTGCCCCCTTTTACCTTATACCTATGTCTCCTAGTAATTGACATTTCTACGCTGGGAAAAGGACTCTGACCATCCACTCTATCCATGCCGCTCATAATTTTATAAACTTCTAACAGGTCACCCCTAATCCTTCGACATTCAAGTGAAAACAACCAAGATTGGCCAACCTTTCCACACAGCTAATATCCTCCAAACCAAGCAACATCCTGGTAAACCTTTTCTGTACCCTCTCCAAGCCTCCACATCGTTCTGGTAATGTGGCGTCCTGAACCTCATGCAATTCTATACAGCTGTAACATGACTTCCCAATTTTTATACTCAATGTCCCAGCCGATGAAGGCAATCATTCCATATGCCTCTCTGACGATTTTGTCCACTTGTGTTGCCACTTTCAGGCAACTATGGACCTGTATGCCTAGATCTCTCTGTATGCTGACGCCACTGAAGATTCTATCATTTACTGTCTACGTCCATCCTGCAGTAGACCTTCCAAAGTGCATTACCTCACATTTGTCTCAATTAAACTCCATCTGCCATTTTTCTGCTCAATCTTCAGCCCATCTACATCCTGCTGTATCGTCTGGCAATCCTCCTCACTATCCG